TGGGGAAAACCTGAGAGTTCACACCCTAAAAGAATTCAGAAACACTGCACCCTGGGACACAGAGCACTTAACAGCTTAGAGATCTCGGCTCAGAAACAGACCCATAAGCCAGAGTGGTCATATCTTAACCCAGATAGCTTTTAACTTCACACCCTGGACACAAACTCTGACTCCCAAATAGATCAGGGGTCTCATATTCTGGGGACACAAGCCTAAGGAGACCAGAGGTCTCGCATCCTAGAATAAAGATCCCCCCACCATACTTGGGATGGGTGATTTTTCTGTGTTATTACAAAGCAATCCCTTACACATACACCTTGTTATGGACCGAATGTTTGTGTCCCCCCAAATCCTTATGTTGAAGCCCTAACCCCCAGTGTCATGGCATTCAGAGGTGAAGCCTTTGGGGGGGGTGTTTAGGGTTAGATGAGGTCATGAGGGTGGGGTCCTCATGATGGGATTGATGCCCTTGTAAGAAACCAGAGCCTGCTCTTTCTCTCCACCATGTGAGGACACAGAGAGAAGGTGGTCCCCTTCAAGCCAGAAAGAGAGATGTTACCATAATGTGATCCTGCTAGCACCTGATCTCAGACTTTGGGCCTCCAGAACTGTGAGAAAACTAATTTCTGTTGTTTAAGCCCCCCAGTCTGTGGTGCTTTGTTATGGTGGCCTGAGCTGACCAAGTCACACCTTAAGCTTTTACTTTCACAGCCCTGAGTTTTATATCAGAGTTCTTATACTGCCGACTTCTGTTACTACCAGCAGTCCTCAGCCTGGGGCCCTCCCATTTCTGCCCCTTGATCTCTAGGCACTGAGCCAAAGGGTTGTCTGGAGGCTCCAGGGCAAAGACACCTAGCCTGCCATGCTGTACCGTCTGCCCTCCAGGCTGCCAGCCAGGATGTGGGGCAGGACTTTGGAGAAGCAGGTGAGTGGGGTGATCCCAGGGGCCTGGGGCATAGGCGTTTGCCCCAAGGCTGGGAATTGCCTAGCCCAGGCCTGGTAACCGGTTTCCTTTCTCTGTGGGCTATCCTGAAGTGCGGACATCCATTTTCCCGGTCCTCCTCTCTCTTCCTCTTTCAAAGACAAGCAGAGGGCAGCAGAGGGACATGGAAAGGCCCTGTTCTAACTCAGTCAGACTGCAACACGTCTGCAGGAGTGGCCCTGAGCTGAGGGATGACTGCTTTGCTCCCTCAGGGTGGCTCCAGGGAGCCAGTTTGGCCAGGAACATCAAGATGGGGCAGTGTGGGAAAGGGCCAGAAAACAGGGCACTGACCTTGAACTTTGCCAGGAGAATTCCAGGGGCCCCTGACACCCTGAAGGAGACCTTGTAGAGGATTCTGTAGAAAAAGAGGAGGCAGGAGGGAGGACATCGTGTTCTGGGCACTCTATTATATAGGGAGATTTGCTGTGGGGAATAAGATGGATTACATTTCATGTAGTGCTTAGAACAGGGCTTGGCAAAGAGTAAGCCTTATATGATTACTATGTCCTGATGATCTTTTTATAAACCAGCCTCCCTCACCTTGCCTCAACAACCCTGAACTATCTGGCCCTTGCCTTCTCCACCTACTCATGCCTCACTCACTTTTGGATTCTAAACCACACTGGCCTTCTTCTGGGTCCTTAAGAGAACCAGCCCTGCTCATCCTTGAATTTGTGAGGATGGAGTTCCTTCTCTGCAAACGAGAATCTGGGGAGTGAGTCTGAGCTGGCAGGCACTGAAAATGGGAGGAATGGGTTGAGTTGATTTCCAATAGACTACCAAAATTGGGGGTTATGGCTAAAGCTGTGCTTAGTGGGTAATCTATAGTTCCAAATGCAGAGATGAGGAAAATTGAAAACCAATGATCTGAGCTTCCTTATCAAGAAGCTAGAAAAGGAACAGCAAATTTACGTTTATGAAAGTGGAAGGAAGGAATTATAAAGAGCAGAAACTGGTAAAATAGAAAGCAAACATACATTGGAGAAAATTGACAAGGTCATAAATTCATTCTTTGAACAGATTAATAAAATATTAGTAATGTCTGTTTTCTCTCAAATTTTTAACAGAAAAAAATATAAATTACCAATATCAGAAACGAGAAGGGGGTGCTATTACAGACCCTACAGACATTAAAAGGTTTTTAACATTCTACTTTATTTTCAATGGAGCCCAAATGCCAGTCATTTTCTCATTATACTGCTTCTGTGTCCCTGTGGATCCTCTGTATCCACCAGGACAGTAAAACTCAGCAACATTGCTAACACCTCTTCCACTCATGAAAATACAACAGCACAGCATTTTTTACAGTTGGGGCTCAGTGAAATCAATTGTTTAAAATGTAATGGTTTGAATAGAATGGAACACAGTGGAATGGAATGAATATAATAGTATAGGGTAAAATGGAATGGAATGGAATGGAATGGAATAGAGTAGAGTAGAGTAGAGTAGAGTAGAGTAGAGTAGAGTAGAGTAGAAGTCAGACTTTGTACTAGGCGCTGGGCCTAATTGTTGTAGTAGATATCCACTAATTTAACAGATATTACTGAACATCTGCTAGTTGTTTGGGACACAGTGGGGAACAAAACAGAGAGAAATCTCTACCCTCATGTAACTTATATTCTAGTCCTAGAGACAGATAATAGCATATGCATTAGATATGCATAAGGCCCTGAGGCCAAAGATACAAAGATTGCCCTTATGAGAACAGGCAAAAGACAATGTAGCTTGGAGTTCAAAAGAAATGGATGGGGCTGTAGAGACTAAGGGCCATGGAAGGGAATCTGAAATTTAACAAGATGACCATGACAACATCATCATCATCGTTGACTCTTATAGCACTTGCTATGTGTCAGGCATTGTTCTAAGCCCTTAAAAATACAATTTTTTTTAATGTTCACAATAATCATATATATATATATATATATATATATATATATATATATATATATATAATCATGCACATTTTACAGAAGGAAACCAAGGCACAGCAAGATTAATTAAACATCAGTCTGGCTCCCCAAATCTGTTCTATTAACCACTATATTGTGCTATAGTGCCAGACACAGGCACCTTATAATCCTGTAGCACATGTAGTGTAAATGTACAAATTACTAAAGAATGCAAATCAAGAGAAAGGTCAGGTGGGAAGTGTGCTGAGGGCAGGAAGTAAGAAGGGGGGAGGTGTGCCCTCCCTCTAGGTATCAAGGTGAGTCTGGAAATACACATGCCTAGAAACATTTATTTCATCTGAGATGTTCCCTTCCAGTCCTGGCATAGCTGAGGAGTGAGAAAAAAGGGTACTGAGTAAAATTGGCCAACAGAGGGCTTGTACTTTTAGGGGTTGGGGCTCCTCTGTGTCCTGTCATTCCTTGCAAAAGATATGAATTCCAGCTTGGGGACAAGAGAGGGTTTTTTCTTGGTCTCCACTTCCCTAAACTTCATCTCTAGCCCTCTAGAGGGGGAAAGAGAATAAGAAAACAGTAGAGAATGATCATGGCAGACTCTTGTGAATCTACACATGGGTGATAAGACTCTCCTCAAGTTTTTTCCCAGGACTTTTCCCTGGAAATGGGGTTGAGGAGGAAGTATAGTCATTGTGGAGATGAGGGGAGCTGAGAAGGAAACAGGAAATTTGGGTGTGACCAGTGGCAATGTGATCTCCTTTGAATTTTTTTTTAAGTCATGGAGGAACAGCAGTCAGACTCCTTCCCCATGTCTTATCCATAGACTGGACCACATTTTGATGACAGTAAAGAGTATCAAAGACACCACGATGTTTTATTCCAAGATCCTGGGCATGGAAGTCACAACTTTCAAGGTAATCACTTTCCCATATGCAAATTGCAAGTGAAGTAGAATTTGGTTATATTTTTCAGCCCCCTTCCCCTCAAAAAAAACCAACCAAACAAACAAACAAACAAAAACCTCAGAGGAAATCTGTGAGAAAAATGCAAAGGATCAATGTAGGAGATTCCAAATTCTAAATAGTGGAACTTCCAGAGACAGAATGGAGAAAAAGGTAGGGAGGAAATTGTCATAAAAGTAACGCAAGAGAACTTTCCAGTCTTTGTGTGGAAGAGTATCCAGCACATTGACACTTAGATATGTTCTTGGGAAGTTACAGAACATCAAAGTGGAAATGAATATCGTAAGAGCTTTCAAAGAAGTTGAAAAGAAAAGTAGTTAGGGGCACCTAGGTGGCTCAATCGGTTAAGCGTCCAACTATTGATCTCAGTTTAAGTCACGATCTCACAGTTCATGAGTTCGGGCCGTGCATCGGGCTCTGCACTGATTGTGTGGAGCCTACTTGGGATTCTCTCTCCTTCTCTCTGCGCCTTCCCTGCTTGTGTGCTCACTCTTGCTCTCTCTCTCTCAATAAATATTTAAAAAAATTAAAACTATATTAAAAAAAAGAAAAGTAGTTCAACTACAAAGGGAAAAGAAATATGCAGATACCAGATTGCCCATGAGTCACATCAGAGACCAGAAGACAATAGAACAATTTCAAGATTTTTTTTTAACTTTATTTTGAGAGAAAGAGAGAGAGATCATGTGCGAGCAGGGCAGAGGCAGAGAGAGAGAATCCCAAGCAGGCTCCACACTGTCAGTACAGAGCCTGACCTGGGGCTCAAACTCACGAGGCGTGAGATCATGACCTGAGCCAAAATCAAGAGTTGGATGCTTAACCAACTGAGCCACTTAGGCACTCCAAATTTCAAGGTTCTGAGGGGAAATTTTCAACTTAGAATTCTATGTGCAGCCAAACTATTAATCAAGGTGAGTGTAGAGTAAAACATTCTTAGATATATGGGTCTCCTGGCTGGCTCAGTCAGTAGAGCTTGAGACTCTTAATCTCAGGGTTGTGAGTTTGAGCCCCATGTTGGATGTAGAGAGTTTACTTTTTTTAAAAAAATGTTTCCCCCTTTGGGGGGGGGGGCAGAGGATCTGAAGTGGGATACACGCTGACAGCACAGAGCTATATGTGGGCAGGAACCCACAAACCATGAGATCATGACCTGAGCTGAAGTCAGATGCTCAACTGACTGAGCCACCCAGGCTCTCTAAAATTTTTAAAATATTTTTTAAGTTTACTCATTTATTTTTGAGAAAGAGAGAGAGAAAGAAAGAGAGAGAGAGAGAGAGAGAGAGAACAAGTAGAGGAGGGGCAGAAAGAGAAGGGGACAGAGGGTCTGAAGGCTCTGTACTGACAGCAAAGAGCCTGATGTGGGGCTCAAACTCACAAACTGCTAGATCATGACCTGAGCCCAAGGTGGATGCTAAAACCAACTGAGCCACCCAGGCACCGCACAAATTTTTTTTTTTTATTTTTAAGATAGAGAGATAGAGAGCAAGCAGGGGAGGGGCAGAGAGAGGGAGACAGAGAATCCCAAGCAGGTTGAGTGTTGTCAGCTCAGAGCCCCATGTGGGGCTCGAACTCACAAACTGCGAGATCATGACCTGAGCCAAAATCAACAATCAGACGCTTAACTTACTGAGCCACCCAGGTGCCCCAGGGAGGTTGTTTTTAATTAAAAGCCCCATTTTACCTTTTTTTTTTTTTAACCTTGGAGGTTGTTCTCAGTTGTTCTTCCTTCCCAAATAGGGTGACCGGAAAGCATTGTGTTTTGGAGACCAGAAATTTAACCTCCATGAGGTGGGAAAGGAATTTGAACCCAAAGCTGCTCACCCAGTTCCTGGCTCCCTGGACAGATGTCTGATCACAGAGGTACCTTTGGAGGAAATGGTCCAGCACCTCAAGGTGAGTTGGACATCCATTCTTTTTGAGAAGCTGCTGCTGGTATGGTGAAAACAGAATGCATGACCCAGCTGGGTGTTCCTCAAACTTCAGACATAACAGGTTTTGTCATATCCAGATCATGCCCGTATACAACCATTTGCTCGTTCTTTTTCCTGACATCATTTTTTCATGTAAACAAATACATTTACATCACTCTTGTAAAGAATACAAACCTAAATTATTCTTACATAAATGCATTTATGTAAAAAGCAAATGTTCAACCAAGTACATGAACAGACCATTGTATCTTGACACAAAGGGAAGTTAACTGTAAAAACAAACAGCTATAAAAACACCAGTCATTAGATTCTATCCACTTCCTTTCTCTGAACCCTCTGGGCTTGATGTTACATAGGGAGATTTGGCAAATGGTTGGGGAGGTGCTAAGGACTTGGTAGCATCCACCAGAGACTTTCTTCTTGATAGAATCAGGATTGAAATAGGGGGCACCTACCTGGCTGGCTCGGTAGGAAGAGTATGCAACTGTTGACCTTGGGGTCCTGAGTTCAAGCTGCACATTGGGTGTAGAGATTACTTAATAATAAAAACAAACAAACAAACAGGCGCTTGGATGGCTCAGTTGGTTAAGCATCCAACTTCAGCTCAGGTCATGACCTCACAGTTTGTGAGTTCAAGCCCCGTGTTGGGTTCTGTGCTGACAGCTCAGAGCCTGGAACCTGCTTCCGTGTTTCCTGCTCTCTCTGCCCTTCCCCCACTCATTCTCTCTCTCTCTCTCTCTCTCTCTCTCTCTCTCTCTCTCTCAAAAATAAACACTTAAAAAAAGGAAAAAGAGGATTGAAATAGGATTGAAGAGGGAATATTTAATTTGGTATATTTCTAACACTTAAAATGGTTTAATGTAAAGGAAGCATTGGTTCCCCTTTTGGGGAACACAGAATAAGGTCTTGCATATATTTCTTTCTTTGGAAAGTATCAGTGAAAAAGTCTGGTTTGGAAGTAAAGTGGGGGAAAGCATAGGGGCTAAGAATACGGGCTTTGGCCCAGACTACCTGGGTTTGAATTCTGGCTCTGCCACTTACTAGATAATACTAGGCACCATTTTATCATCCCCATTTTACAAATTAGGAAATTGAGGTACAGAGCAGTTAGGTACCATGATCGAGGCCACACAGCCAGTAAATGGCCAGAGTGAGGGAGGGGAGAATGGAAGGAGATGAAGTCAGAAAGATATCAGGGGTCTTCTAAGAATTGAATTTTGGTCTCATACATGGACTGTGATGAATGACTTTTGTGTTCTCCTCCCACTTCAGGTTTGTGATGTCCCCACTGAGGAGGGTCCAGTCCCCAGAACAGGGGCCAAAGGACCCATTATGTCCATCTACTTCCGAGACCCTGACAGAAACCTGATTGAGGTGTCCAACTATATCTCCTCATGATTGAGGCTGGCCCTCTGCCATTCTGTTCCCTGTGATGTCTCCCTCTCCCTTTCTGCCTGCAAACTCTCACCCAAGCCCAGAGAACTCCAAGGACTGAGGACTTCAGCATTTCATTCTTCCTACTGGGGGGACCTGAGTTGGGTTTGGGACCAAAATTACATGTCTGAATGTCCTCCATCCAAGGCTCCCCTAATAAATTAACAACCTCTCGATTAATATGAGCTCTTCATTATTACTGTCTCAGTGCTATGTATGAATGTTTGTCCAGGGTGTGAGGTCTCTGAGCTGTTTGGGGGTTGACCAGGGTATGACATCTCTGAGGACCAAATCCAGGGTCATCCCCTTGGGATTCAGGGCCCCTGACAGATTGTCCTTGTTAGTGAGCCCATCCTTTCTCATCCTTTTGGAATTCACCTCATCCCTTCCAAGTGCTGCTTCCTGTGTCCTCCACCCCATAGGCTTCACTGAACCTCAAGATATCTGTCAGTCCCACGGAACCTTCAAGGACCACCCCAAGTGATACTACCTCCTCCTGGAATGCCTTACCTGATCTCACCCCCAGGGTATGTGGTGCTGTCTACCTTTGGATCTGGTAGGTCCAGATTCATCTTAACTGAGGCTCAGCTCCTGACAGAGTAGACAGGACTGGGACAAATATCATCTGTTTCTGCCTCCCCCTCCCAACACCATCCATTCAATCAACTAATAAACACATATTGAGTACCTACTCTGTGCTTGGCCCTGTTCCAGACATTGGGGAGACAGTGTTGAACAAAAAGGATAAGCATACCTAGGTTTGGGGAGTTGTCATTCTAGTAGAAGAGACAAAATAAATAAAATTAAGTAAGGAAAATATGGGGCACCTGGGTGGCTCAGTTGGTTAAGTGTCCAACTCTTGATTTTGGCTTAGGTCATGATCTCAGGGCTCAGGAGATTGAGCCCCACAACGGGCTCATGCTGACAGCACAGACCCTGTTGGGATTCTCTCTCCCCCTCTCTCTGCCCCTCCCACCACTCGTGTGCATTCTCTCTCTCTCAAAATAAATAAACTTAAAAAAAAAAAGTAAAGAAGGGCTGCCTGGGTGGCTCAGTTGGTTAAGCCTCTGAGACTCTTTTTTTTTTTTTTAATTTCTTTTTTCAACATTTATTTATTTTTGGGACAGAGAGAGACAGAGCATGAACGGGGGAGGGGCAGAGAGAGAGGGAGACACAGAATCGGAAACAGGCTCCAGGCTCTGAGCTATCAGCCCAGAGCCTGACGCGGGGCTCGAACTCACGGACTGCGAGATCGTGACCTGGCTGAAGTCGGACGCTTAACCGACTGCGCCACCCAGGCGCCCCAAGCCTCTGAGACTCTTGATCTCAGCTCAGGTCTTGATCTCAGGGTTGTGATTTCAAGCCCCACATTGGGCTCCATGCTGGGCATGAAGCCTACTTAAAAAAAAAACAGTAAGGGAAATATGAAGTATATTAGAGGATGATAAATACTTTGGAGCAAAAGACAACATGGAAAAGAGGGAATGCAGATAAAAATTGCTGGGGCAGTTTCTAACGTGTAATAGGATGGTGGGGGGAAACTTCACTGAGAAGCCATTTGCATGCAGATCCAAGATGAGGGAAGGAGGTGCACCAATAGCTGGAGGAAGAGCATAACAAGCAGAGAGAACAGGCAGTGCAAAGGCCCTGAAGCATGAACGTGCCTGGTGCATGAGGAACAGTGAGGCCAGTGCAAAGTGAGCAGTGAGTGGAGGGGGGAGCAGCAGGAGGTGAGGTCAGACACGGGGTGGGAGACTGATCGTGTAGGGTATCATGGGCCACGGAGAGAACTCTGGCTTTTACTCTGAGTGACAGGGGAGCCATGGAAGGGTCATGAGCAGAGGAGGGCCATGATCTGACAGGATTTTAACAGGCTCCCTCTGGCTGCTGTGAAGAAAATAGGCTGTAGGTGTGAGGGCAGGAACAGAGGACTGTGAGGGGGAGGCTACTATAGTGGTCCAGGCAAGCGGTGCCGTGCCGGCAGGGGAGGTGATAAAAGGTGGTTAGATTATGGAGATACTCTGAAGACAGAGACTGGATAAGTTCACCAAAAGAGAAACTGTCAACTAGAGAAGAGGTCCAAAGACATTTAGAGTTCTGAAACAAGGATTAACCAGCAAATAAGGCAGGCAGTGAGGAAAAGGAAAGAGTACAGCGTCCTGAATGAATGAGTGATGGATAAAGGAGCATGTATGACAGTCTTTTGATGTGATCAAGCCTCTAGTCTTGTGGACTCTAGTCTCTAAACAGTCCCCAGCTGGTGGTTCAGCCAGACCCTATGAGTGAACCCCCAAAGAGCCCCCCCAAAACGAAAGAGAGGATGTGTAAGGGTGTGAGTTTCAGCATGTGAAAGGCTTTGCCAAAAGCTGTAGCAGGCTTCCTGCCTGTTTTTAATTTTTTACTATTTATTTTGGCAATTAAATACGTATTAAGATAACATAAACTCTAATACAGATTTTCAGCATAATATAGATATCACACATTTCTTCTAGTAACAGATGATAGCCAGATGAATCACAACAGAAGAATCTAGAACAATAAATTTTGTTAGTAGGTCTTCCTAGAAGTCAGCAAACCTAACCCACTCACAGATGAGTAAACTAATGACCAGAGAAGCTGGCATTCTCTACAAATGTTTAGGGCACTGACCATGTGCCAGGCACTTATTTGGTGCGGGTCATGTAAAAGTAAACAGAACGTGGTAACTGTACTCAAGGAGCTCATAGCCAGGCTAGTGGGCAATGGTGTCCAATAAGAAAGAAATTAACACACAGTCTAATCAGTATTGTGAGAACAGCATGCTCAAGCTACAAGATGCACCCAATCCAGGTTCGGGAGCAGCTCTGCAAAGGTCAAGCGTGAGCTGACCTAGGAAGGATGCACAGGAGTTACATAGATAAAGAGGCAGTGAAACAATGGTCCAGGATGGCCCTGGTGAGGGAAAGCATAGTGCATTTAGTTAATCAAAGGAGTTCAAGTACAAGGGAATTCCAGTCGTGGACTTTGGAGACAACAGTCTACTGACTCCCAGTTCAATGCTATTTTTAGAATACTATCTGCCTTTCTAGGTCTCCTGACAAGTCTGTGATGATTAAGCACATATATCAACATTCTTGCATAGAAAAAAGGAAGCATACGTGGCTCATGCTTACCTACGTAGAGACATTAAGATTTTCAAACCCTCTTGCTTAAGATGTCTCTCTGAGGGGCGCCTGGGTGGCTCAGTCTGTTAAATGTCTGACTTTGGCTCAGGTCATGATGTCACAATCCGTGGGTTCAAGCCCTGCATTGGGCTCTGTGCCAACAGCTCAGATCCTGGAGCCTGCTTCAGATCCTGTGTCTCCCTCTCTCTCTGCCCCTCCCCTGCTCATGTTCTCTCCTCTCTCTCAAAAATAAAATAAAAACATAAAAAATTTAAATAAATAAACATTAAAAAAATTTAATAAAATAAAATGTCTCTTTGAGGGGCACCTGGGTGGCTCTGTTGATTAAGCATCTGACTCTTGATTTCGGCTCAGGTCATGATGTCACAGTTCATGGGATGGAGCCCCGCATGGAGTTCTCTACTGACAGCACAGACAGAGCCTGCTTGGGATTCTCTCTCTCCCTCTCTCTGTCCCTCCCACATGTGCTCTCTCACTCTCAAAATAAATAAACACTTTTAAGTTTCTATTTGAGGAATAATTACTCTGTGTTATAGCCTTTCATTTCCTCCCCAAACTTACATCAATCAGATCATGTCACAAAGCTCTTAAGTCTGGAAGAGATTTTTGAGGAATCACTTTGTCGTTGGCCAAGGGAGCAGGAGACAGGGCAGGGGAAACAGTCATCACCCTGGCACAGGCAATAAAGGGGCCATTATCTGCAGAGAACTCAAAAATTAATAATAAAACTGATTAAAATCATTCTGCATTTTATCATCACCACAGGGCAGCAATTCAGCAATTCTCAGCAATGTCAGTAATGAGACCCTCCTCCCTGCCAAGGCAAACTGCTCGTGCTGATGCTCACCCCACGTGTGCCACCACACTTAGATACACCTGCATATGCAGAAAGCACAGCACCCACACAAACTATACAAACGTCTGCAATCTCCATCTTAGCTATCTCTTCTGTTCATATTACTACACATTCTCCACTCCACCCCATTCTGTATACGTAGCTTGAGTAGTCAAAATCATACATACAAAAAAAAACCCCACATCAATGTTTATCTTCCTTCAATTATGATATTTATCGCCAATGACGTTTCTCATTTCTCAAGTCTCAAATCCCTCTTGAGCTGGGGATGATGCCCAATGCTGCCACTTCTACATTCATGGGCTTACCAGGTGCAGTTCACACTCATCCTCTCTGGCTGGGCCACCTGGCAGGTGCTTAGCGGGGTAAACACCCAGGGGTCTTTTTATTTATTTATTTATTTATTTTTTCAACGTTTATTTATTTTTGGGACAGAGAGAGACAGAGCATGAACGGGGGAGGGGCAGAGAGAGAGGGAGACACAGAATCGGAAACAGGCTCCAGGCTCTGAGCCATCAGCCCAGAGCCTGACGCGGGGCTCGAACCCACGGACCGCGAGATCGTGACCTGGCTGAAGTCGGACGCTTAACCGACTGCGCCACCCAGGCGCCCCACCCAGGGGTCTTTAATGCCCAGCTGCATGTTGAAAAACTGCATGCACAGTATCACAGTTTTGGTGAAGGCTTTCTGGATAGGATAACCATTTTTAACTGTATAAATGCCAACCCAGATTTCATATGATCTAGCTGACTTTCTGTCAGACCACTTCTGGACCTTGATCTGCTCCTGGGGCCCCCTATGGAGAACTAGTCGTCAACTAGTCCTCAAAGGTGGCATTCTGAGGAATGTCTAGAGGGTCCCAGGGGTCCATCAGGGTGATCTTGGCGCACTGCTTGGTGGCTTACTCAATCTGAAACATCACTCCGTCCTTATAGAACAAAATTTTTCAAATAATCTCTTGCAGGGGATTAGCACCTTCTAATGGTTGATCCCATCATAGGAGAGCAGGGCATGGCTACTGTACCTGCTGCTCTGTAGTACAGAAACTAGTGGCCTTCCTACTGCTGTGGTGCCTGGCAAGGGTACAGGGTCCCTGGGGCACTGCTGGTTGCCACCTCCAGCACTACCACCCCCCAGGCTACAGAGGCCACCCAGACCCAGAGGCCACCCAGCAGCTAGGCACCCAGGGCCGCCTGGGCCATGCTTCCTATTTTTAAAAGACAGCTTGCATAAATAAACTTAAAAGCGGGGGTCGGGGTGCCTGGGTGGCTCAGTTGGTTAAGCGTCCAGCTCTTGGTTTTGGCTCAGGTCATGATCTCATTTTGTGGTTTTGAGCCCCACATAAGGCTCCGCACTGACAGAGAGGAGTCTGCTTGGGATTCTCTCTCTCTCCCTCCCCTGCTCTCACTTGCGTGCTCTCTTGCTCTCTCTCTTAAAATAAATAAATAAACTTAAAAAAAAAAGACAGCTTGCCTTGGACCCAGATGTCATATGCCTGGAGATAGATGATTTATGAAAGGAAGAAAGGAAATAGAAATGAGGGAAGGAAGGAGAAAAGGAGGGAGGAAGGGAGGGAGGGAGAGTGGGCGGCAAGTGGGTAAATGAATGAATACGTACATAGATGAATGGATGGATAGATGGGTGGGTGGGTGAATGAATGGAAAGATGGACTAATATCCTCTGCCCCCGGAGAAACTCTTTCACATGTGTGTGCACAGACAGAGAAGTATGAGTTTGTAAATTGCAGGTGTGCTGTAACACAGAAAAGTCTGGAAACAACCCAAATGTCCATCAACAGATGAATGGTTAAACAAACCATGATACATCCATTCCATGGAATACTACTCAGCCATAA